TCTTTAATATACAAATAATTACTTTCCCGAAAAGAAAAAGTTTTTAAACAATCGAAACATACTATTAGACATAAACCAAACAATATTCTGTATTATCAATCAAGACTTAGGTTGAATGTTCCAAATTCAATCAAGACTTAGGTTGAATGTTCCAAATTCAATCAAGACTTAGGTTGAATGTTCCGAATTCTTGTTTTTCATAATACTCGCAAATGTTTCAATTAATATTTATTACTAAAAATAGCGGCATTTAAATTATTAGAACAAGTAACCAAAAAAAGAAAAAGCAAAGAAAGATTGCACGAAAGTATGAAAAAACAAAGGCTAGCATCTCATAAAATAAGGCTTGATTGTAACTGTAAAAATGTTTGAAATGCTTCGAAGTTGTTAAAAGAGACGATAGAAATGTTTTATTAAGTTACTTTAACTCTCTAGCCAACAAAGATGCTCAAGATTCATATCTTGTTAGTTTAATAACTTTAAACAATGTTTCTTGAAGAAGACCACAAAATATTGATTCAAATGGTTATAGTAGTAGTTACATATATAAACTTTTTATTAAAAATTTTTGTTACTTTACGAATAAAAATTTGTTTGTTCATGTTTGCTTCTCTGTTTTTCTTTTAATTTTTGGCATAAATAAGGGAAGGTTGGAGAAAGTCTTTTAATCTCAGGCAAGTCATATTTTTTCCTTGTATACATTGATGATCATTAAATCTCTATTCCTAATAAAAGCTTTGTATACAATTAATCATATAAAAATTACAACTTCTTTATCATACACGTCACTCACCTCGCAATCAAAGAGGAAAACACAAAAATCATTATAACAGCCTTACTCATGAACTAAAAAATTGAATATGTGATCACATTTCTTCATTCAGAGGTCAAGAGTCTCACTATTCTCATAAAAAAAACTAGGCGACTCTATGTTCCTGAAGAATTAAATATTACTAAGATGTTTGACTTGTTTAAAACCAAGTATGGAAATGATAAGTTGTTGTATGAATCTTATCGAAACATATTAAATACTAATTTTAACATTTCTTTTTGGTACCCAAGAACGGATACTTGTTCTAAATGTAATGAGTTAAAAATTAAAATTAAAGTCAAACGATTTGATTTCTAAAAAAATTTAATTTACCAATCAATCCACTAATGACTTTTATTACAAAAGAAAATTAATATTTTATTCATTTAATATTCATGTGCCTTCAAGTAATGAAGTTTTTTTGTATTGCTATGATGAAACTATAATTAAAAAAGAAGCTGATGAGGTAACTTCAATGTTATATAATTTTTTTATGAAACATTTAGACAAAGATATTCAATCTGTAGAGTTATTTTGCGATTTATGTGCTGGCCAAAATAAAAACTATACATTAATCTGTTTTATGGATTTTTTTATTCATGAAAAAAAAGGTTTGACTTCATTAAAATTACATTTCCAGAGCGCGGCCATTCTTATATGGAATTTGATAAAGATGTGGGGTTAATTAATTGAAAAACACCTGCATGTGTTCCATCAGATTGGATTAAAACATTTATAAAAGCTCTTAAAATACCTTCTCCATTTCATGTTGTAGAATTGACGCAAGATATGGTAAAAAGTATAACTGCTTTTGTAAGACCGTTTTATAAAAACAAATTTCTAATTCTAACTCGATCCCTTCGTGAAATTTGTCTTCAAGGAGACTCAAGTGGGATTATATTTCATCTTGATTTATGGAATGGATTAATGTTAAAAACAAATTTAAAAAATAATAGGAAAAATATTATAAAAGGTGACATACTGATTCTATTTAATTCAAAACTTATTATCTCTATGGCAAAGTACAGAGACCTACAAGTATTAAACTATTTTACATCCAATACTGAGTTTTATGATTCATTACCTTACAATCAAGAATTTGCTGACACATTTCATAAAAGTATTGATTCTGAAGATGAAGAATAAATAGACACCTTTTTTATTTAAAGTTTGTCTTTTAAGTCTTAGTGTTTCTTGAGAGATTTTTAAAATTGGCTTTGCTTTTTTATTCTCTGCATTTTACTTAAAACAATTTATATAATTAACAATCCTAGATGTTGCAATATAGATATTAAATAAAAATTAGGATTAGACATAAATAATAAATCTTTTTTTACACTTTATTTACCCATAAAAATTTAAAGCCTTTTTATTATCACAGAGTTGCCACAGCTCCTTTAAAATCCTCTAAAAGTCCTCTTCTTTTATAAATCTCCTATAAAATCTACTATCATCCTCTAAAATCTACTATCATCCTCTAAAATCTACTATCATCCTCTAAAATCTACTATCATCCTCTAAAATCTACTATCATCCTCTAAAATCTACTATCATCCTCTAAAAAAATTGAAAATTTGATCAAATCAACTTTTAAGTCCTCTTTTTTATTTTTTTCATTACTTCATGGTCGTACAATATTAAAAATTCTTGATCTGCTAAACTAGTTTAAACGTCTATTAAGGTAATAGGTTTTAAAAAATTGTTTTAGCAGTTCTATATAACTTAAAATAAATATGGCATTATTGACCCCTGTTCAAACTGGAAAAGTGTGGAAACATGGGAAACCTATCCTCTAAATCTAAAAATATATTTGATGGTTTTTGCGAAAAAATGTCCTCTAAATTAGATGCAAAATCTCCTCTAAAATTTTCTTACATATTCCTTTAACTATGAAAATTTTATGTAGCCATCCTATATCAGAAAAGGCTTCTTGCCAGGGCCGCTCCAAAGAAGGAGAGGAACAGAATGTTTTTTCATTAGATCCCAAATATTTTTAGGGCCAATGTAAGATTGAATTACCTTTTTTAAATAAAGTTCATGTTGCGGGAAAATATTTTTAAAAAATGGTACTTTTCATAAAGAAAAACCTTAAAAATTAAATTTTTGCTACAGGGCTCAGCTAGTATCAAAGCAGCCCTGGCACTTGCAATAAATACCTGTTTTCGAATACAGTTTTGTGACATCTATATGGGCAAAGTTTGAAAAAATTGCATTTTGTCATTAATAACTAAAAAGTTTTTTTTAATTTTTACTAGCTAAAAAACTCCTGTAAGGTAAATATTACTTTATAAGGGAAAAATTGTTTGATAAAATAAGCTTTTACCTATTTTTTATTTTTAAGCAAATATAAAAAAAAAATACTGATTTAGTTTATAAATTAATAAAAAAACGAATACAATCGTTATACCTGGGAAAAAACAGCAGGGTCCAAAAAAACTTAAAAAAGATAGTCTAAAATGAAAATTATTGCACGTGATTTAGCAAATATAATTTAAAAGGCAAAAAAATAAGGTTACTTTTGCAAAATACCTTATAAATTGACACTTTTTTCTAAAAATTAAAAGATTACATAGAATATATAGTTTAATATTGAGTTTTATCATAGTGAACAAATGTGACCCTGCCGTTTCTAACTTTGGAGTATGTAGATATATATATTATATATATATTGTTTTTAATGAAGTTAATATGTTGTCTATTACAGAGATTGAAGTTGATGTAATCCAGATGGGTTTGTTTATTGAAGGGAAGGTGTAGAGTTTAAATATATCATCAAAGAATATTTTGGTTTGCAACTTTTTTATTGTACTGTAGACAATTTATTTTTATGCCTCCAATACAGAATAGTATTTTGTTTCTTTAACAACTACATCACGTCTGCCATTCAAAACATTTTTGTATCACATTCAGATGGAACGTAACAATTGAGTTTTTGGTTTATTTTTTTTAACTGTAAAGACTTCACCATAGGCATCGGAAACTGAAGATGGTCTCTAACTTTATTTGTCAGATCATTATGAATACATCTCATAATTCCACCTGCTCGTTTTTGAATTTTTAGGTTGTAAAATATTAGTTTTTAGTTTACTATGATAATTAAGAAATTAAGAATTAATACCCAAGCAGAAAACAATATTGGCGCGATATTGTCTACAATATTGGCGCAATATTGTAAACTATATCGCGCCAATATTGCAATGTCAACATTTTGCCAATATTGGCCAATATTAGCGGTACAATATTGCGCCAATATTGTTAAGTCAATATTTGCCAATATTGGCAAAATGTTGACATTACAATATTGGCGCGATATCGTTTACAATAATGGCACAATATTGTAAATACAATACTGGCCAATATTGGCGTAATAAAGTTATATTGTTTTTAGTGTTAAACAATAAAATGTTATTTTTTTAAATTTTTTTATTCATTCGCCAGAATATTTACAAGGTAAATTTACATTGAATATATTACCGGCAGGGCTTCTAGAAGATCACAGTTCTATCTAATATGTAAAATAAATACAAAAAAAGTGGGCATTTAAATGGGTCAAAAATACAATATTCTATCTAATATGTAATATGTAATATACAAAAAAAAAATTATATATAAATAAATACAATGTTCTATGTAATATAATATATTATATCAGGTAGAACATTTTATATTTTTATATTTATATATACTTTTTGTATTTATTTTATTTATTAGATAGAACATTTTATTTATTATATTTGAAGATAGAACAAGATAATACAGAGGGGATGAATTGTTTAACCCGAAAGAATAATGCAACCTATAGTCTATACTATATTTTTGTATATAGTTTAGACTATAATTGTATATAACTTGAGTTATAGTCTAGAAGGCGATAATAATCTAGGAACGCTTTGAAAAAATGAGACTTTTTAAAATCTAATAATAAATTTATTAGAAGTTATATTAAACTGATACAAATGAATATATATATATATATATATATATATATATATATATATATATATGTATATATATATATATATATATATATATATATATATATATATATATATATATATATATATATTACAGCGTTACACTCTCACTATCAGATAGTGGGCATTGATTTTCATATATATATATTCATATATTTCATATATATATATATATATATATATATATATATATATATATATATATATTACAGCGTTACACTCTCACTATCAGATAGTGGGCATTGATTTTCATAATCTTGGCGACATTCATTTTCATCGCTCAATAGTGGGCTTTGCTCAATTGCGGTTCTATTTTTTCTTTCGCCTTCTCTATCAATGGCCGTCTTTCTTTAATGCTTTTGTCATTAGCGTTTTCAAATTTTTTTTATGGCAGCTGCAAACAAATTTTAAGTTGATAATGTTAAACAAGACATGAACAAAATGTAATCAAAAATTATCAAACTTATTAATTCAACTAAATACGAAGATAAATAGTTAAATAAATTATCTATAACCACCTTGCACCTTGTAAGAGGCGAAAATGATTTCTTTTGTTTCCTGCCATACATAAAGTATAACAAGCATACTTTTTTAGCCATTAGTTGTTTTAAGATAGCCGTGGTAAGTTGTTTGTAATCGTCGCCTCCAACCGATGCAAGGAAGTTCATCTAAAACAAAAAAAAAACAAAAAAATCGAGTTTGTTTATTATTATATTCAAAAATATATAATTGGTTGTAATAAAAGTTTAATGGTTCTATAAATGTGTGTATTTCGAACAGGTTTCCATAATGTTACAACTTCATTATCTATAATGAGATATTCAAATATGAAACGGAGAAAAAGCAATTTGTTACAAATAGATGCAATCTCTGAGGTCAACCTGTTTTGGTGATCAAGACTTATTGTCATAAATGTTTTATAAAGTGATAAAAACACTAGGAAGAATACCACACAAAATTTTATACAGGTTTATGAGCTTCTCATACCCCTACCAATAATTACACAATATATTGTGTAAAAAATCTGTTACTATAGTATCAGATTCTTCATTCACTAGCATAGGTTGTCTTTACAACAGCAAAAAAATCGGGGTAAATGCAATTTCAAGTATCTAATGTGAGGCTTCCTATGATTAGTAGGCTCATTGCTCTACTAAATTAGTTAACTGGGCATAAATGGTTAAAACCACAACACAATTTAATAAATATACTGTATATAAAGCATTCTTTTCCGTATCTTAATTAAAATCAAATGTATAGTATATTTTATACTATACATTTATTTTTATCTTTGTTCCGTAATTTTTCATCCAGGTCTGGAAGTTCTTTTTCCTCTTTAACAGGCAAATAATTCCATTTAACTGATGGGGATGGTTCTGCTATGCTCTGATTGCTAACAGAAGGAAACACTAAACCTTTTTCTAAATTGATTAGTCAAGTGTTTAACTTTTTCAAATCATATTGAATACTGACAAGCAACTCTAAACTTTTCTTCTCAAATGCTGCAATAAAAAAATAATTTTGACTTTAATAAATACAAATTAAATAGATTAGTTTTTTATTAAAGTTAACGCAAAAAACTAAGAAAAAAATAGTATAACTACATTCAAAAATATATTAAAGAGTACATTTAATTAAACCTTCAAACAAATAACCCATCAAGGTAATCCTTTACCAGGAAATCGGGTGCCTAAAGCAGCCACAACAGCTGCCAAGCTCTGATCAGAAGAGGAAAATATCAGTAGAGAACAATTCGAACTAAATGGCTCAATATATCGAACAGTTGTGGGTTGTAAAATATTTTGGCAATTAAAAGATTTCTTCAATCTTGGGGAAACTGATGGATATGTCTCCTCAGTGTCAATTGTATTACAAACTGCTAACTTTTTAGCTGGTGGCATGTACAATTTTTCATCGCTATCAGCAGCTGTTTCAACGCTTGATGTGAACTCTAACATTTCCATTTGTTCTACAGCAGTTTCATAACTGTATAAAAAATTTAAAGAAAAAATAAATATAGCTGTTCAGATCATTAGCATCTAGCATGTGTGTAGCATAAAATTAAACAAGGAATAAAAACATAATAACGACACTTACCAGAATAATAAAGAACTCTTACTCCTGTAAGTAACTGTTTCCAGTTACTTACAGGAGTAAGTGTTACTTTGCGTATGGCAGTTAAAAGGCGAAATGATCGTAAGTGATTTGGCCAACACACTAAAGTTTCATTGATCAGCCATGAAAAACAGATAACGTCCATGGCACACATGCTTTTTTTTTTTTTCATCAAGAAATTCAACTGCAGCAAATTTTTTAAACTTTGCTTCCATCTTCATTTTTACTGTACAATATGTGTATAAAAAAAAACATAAACAAATTTGAAAAAATAAAAAAAATTAACAAGCGTAAAAAAAAAAAAAAAAGTTTTTAGTTTAGTGGTTCCACACTTGTGTGTAGTGAGTGACTGGGGCCCCAGCCCCAGCCAAATTTGGGTCTTTTTACAACCCCAGCCACAGCTAAATAATAGTTTTAGCAGGAGTTATAAGATGAGGCTAGGAATTTTTTTTTATGCTATTTTATTTTTTAAGCTATAAAAGTTAAATAATATCTATAAAAAAATCTATAAAAAGCTATAAAAGTTAAAAAAAAGCTATAAAAAAAGTTAAAAAAAAGCTATAAAAGTTAAATAATATCTATAAAAATATCTATAAAAAGCTATAAAAGTTAAATAATCTGTTATGAAAGGTAAAAAATATAGGAAAATCACAAATAATATATAAAAATATATATAGATTCAGGATCCCATACATTGTAATAGTTTAAATTAGGTGGTACAAAGTCTTCAGGAGCCCCACATAAATATGTAGTATATGAAAGAGCTCTTAAATTTTATTTTAAAAAAAGAAGTGTTTCAAGATTTTTTGTTTTGAGTCTAATACGTTCTTGTTGTATTGATTTCAAAACTTTAAACTCACATTCACTTGTAGTTCGACTTGGAAGTGAATTTATATTTTTTTATATATATATTTAATTATAAATATAAAATAATATAAAATTTAATAATAAATAACATTTTAGAAAGAATTTAAAATCAAAAGTTGTTTATTTAAAATAAAAATAATTATTCTAATACAAAAAAGAATAGCCTTTATAAAACTATTACAGTTTTAAATTTTGTTATAACTTTTGTATTACTTTTACATGATTATTTAATATTATCATTTTTATTACTATTATTATTACTATTTTATATTATTATTGTTATTATTATTTTAATCAGCCAAATAATCATAAGAATTTTTATATAAACATATTATGATTAATAACTCATCACTGAAGTTTATTGCAGTTTCGCAGTTAAGTAATTCATTTGTATTTTTAGCATCACTTATTGAGTGAATTTCATTTAAATGTTGCTTCACTAATCTTTTAATATAATGTGATTTAGCAGATTTAGCTTGAGATTACTTGGTATCAAGTAGGTGTCAGCATTTTTACAGTATGTTATAATTTGTAATTGCTATTCATAAATTTAAAACCTTAAAACAGTTAGAAAGTAAAAAAAAAAGATAAAAAAAAGAAAGAAATAAAAAAGAGATAAACCTAAATCTAGATTTAATAACTTATTTAAAATTTATTCATTTGCAAACTTATTAAATGATAAATCATATGACGTATTTGTTACTTAATTGAATACCTTTAACAAAACAAATATATATACAAATCTTGCAGATGCAATTAACTCAAATTGTTTTTATATAAAAGTAAACTTACTATTTCAACCTTTATCTTATAATACAGAAATATTTTTCCACTTCTTCTCGTGATACAATCTGTTTCTAAATGAACTGCAACCACTTCTTCTCGTGATTCAATCTGTAAATGTTGCATTAGAAATATATCAAAGGACAAAACTATAGTTTTGTCCTTTGATGTTCACAGTACTTCTTTATAAAGGACATTATGAACAAGCGATAATGTTACGCATGCGTACCAATATGTAAAAATATCAAAATTGGGCAATATTGGCATGTCAATATTGCGCCAATATTATATTCCAATATTAGGAAAATAATATTTGCATAATACTGGTATTATAATATTGGCCAATATTGAAATGCCAATATTGGCGCAATATTGTTTGCCAATATTGGCGCAATATTGCATATCTTGGCCAATCTAGGCCAAGATACCCAATATCGCGCCAATCTTGTTTGCTACCCAGCAAACTCGCGATGCTTGGCCCATGCATGGCCCACCATCGGTGCCATGACTGGCCCACCATCGGCCGACAATCATGGCCCAATTCCAGTGTTGCACATCGTTTATTGCTTGGCCCATGCATGGCAGCCGTTCTTCGACCAGCGTTTAGCCGTTGTTTTGCCAGTGATCATTTTTACGCTACTTTAGGTTGATTTTATTTGCTTTTTAACATGTATTGCTATTTTTATAAATAAACAATACTTAAATAAATGCGAGATTGTAACTTAAGCAAGCAAATGCAAGATTTTAACTTAGAGATTTTAACGTAAAATAAGTAAGGAAGAAAAAGATAAAGCGGGGTGATGTTTAACTACTTAAAGTCTACTGGGTGATAAAAAATAGAATATGGGATATTTTAAACTATAAACACACCGTCATTTTAGCAGTACAATTTATATTACCAAATATTTTTATTTCAATAAAATATTCTTTCAATACAATACATATAAAAGTTTAAGGTTAGCGAAAAGTTAAACTTCTACAATAATTCCAACTTGATGCTTGCATGAGCTAACGTTTGATACTTCTTGATATATCTATATTTGTTGCCTGCCAAGCCCCATCTGAAAGATTTAGTAATTACAAAAGTTAAAAAAATAGCCAAAAGTCAAGAAATTGTAAAATAAGTATAAAACTGTAACGTAAATAACTAAAAATAAAGTAATTGCAAAACAAACAATACAAGTTAGTAATAACATTAAATAAGTAATAAATATTTTTAAATATAAATGTTATAATTGTATTTACTGTTTATACTTTTATATAACATTCGTCTTTAAAAATCTAATCTGTCCTGTTATTTGGTGTCAAATGAAATAAATCATGCAGTCGTATAAGATGCCAACAACATAATAAAAGTATTTAAATATAAATACTTTTAGAAATATAATTCAAAAGAAAAATATTTAAAAAAACTTTGTGAATATGAAACTTCTACTTTACTCTCTAAAAATTTAAGATTTTAAACCAATAAATTTCACAAATTACTTTTTTTCCACAAAGAAAAGCCTTGAAATGTTTGTTATCTCTAAAAACTATAAATATAAATCAACTAAGTTTCATGAAACGCCATATGGTAAAAAATATCTTACGTTGTTTATCCAATAAACCACAACTCAATGACTCCATAACATTAGATATTTATGTTGTTTTAAAAAATACTCTCAATGAAATACAACATATAAAAATATATAAGGTTTCTAAGGAAACCATACAAAAGAAAAACCTTACTTTGTTTCTTCATTAAATCACAACTCATTTACTCCAAGATAATATTAGCTAACCCTGTTGTTTCAAAAATTACTTTTAATGAAATACTGCTTATAAAAACTATAAATATATATAAACAAAATTTATGGGTATGCAACATAACAAAAACTTCGTACCTTGTTTATTGACAATGAAGTTTCTTGAGATACCTTATACAAAAAATATCTTACGTTATTTATCCAATAAATCACAACTCGTGGACTCCACGATAACATTAGATAAACCTGTTGTTTTTTTTTTAACTCTCTGAATAAAATATTACAAATGAAAACTATAAATATATATCAATAAAGTGTCTTGGGTTACCATAATAGAAAAATATCTTACATTGTATATCCAACAAATAATCTTATTGACTCTATAACATAAGATAACCATGTGGTTCCAAAAAAGATTCTCAATTAAATACATATAAAAATTTAATAATTAAACTAAATAAAGATATTAATCAATCATTTTATTTCACTTTATAAAAAATACAAAGTTAGGATCAGTAACAAACAATTATGTAACTGACAAAATCGTGACGACCAACAAATATTCACCATAAATTTGAAACAATATATAAACCAAATAGCAAATTAATAGTAAAAAAAATAAATAATTAATAATAATAATACAGTAATAATAATTATAATAATAACAGTAATGGCTAACAAAAGTAAACAATAAAAATAACAATGTTAATTATAAATATAATAATAATAGCCAAACATTAACAATAAGTATATAAGTACTATCAGTAATAACTAACAACAGTAACAATAAGAATAACAATGTTAATTAAAAAAATGAAAATAAAACAATAACAATAGATTTATTATATATAAAAAATGACAAAATTGACAGAAAATATAAGACAACAATAACAAAAGATATAAATATCTTCTGCAGAAGACATTTATATAAATGTTAATATTAATAATGATAAGATAACAATGACAGAATATATAATTATATATTCTGTCATTGTTATCTTAATAAGATTCTTATCATTATTAATATTAAAAAGAAAATGTTTTGACAATGACCGATCTGTCATTGTTAAAACATTTTTTTTTCATTTATTTACAGCTATTAAGTTAACAAAAAATAAGAAATACGAATATAGATAAATAGTAAATAGTAAATATTATTTACTATTCACATTATTATAAGTAAACGTGATGCTTATCCTTTTTAAACCGTTTTTAAAATGTTATAAAGTTGCACATGCGCAAAGGAAAAACTTTTATTTTATCACAAAAATGGATTAAGCCTGGCACAAGATCGGCAAGATCGGCAAAGTTGGCCGATCGTAAAACAAGCATGGCCAACCATTGGTTAATGACTGGCATCACTGGCGCAATGGTGCCGGCCATTAACCAATGAATCCCATGCATGGACCATGCATGGCAAGTTTACTGGGAATGGCTTAGTTTAAATTTTTTGATTTGTTTTAATACAAAACATAAGATTTAAACTAAGCCATTTGATCATTTATTATATGGTGATAAAAATCGTCGTGAAGTCAGTTCCGTTATGTTGTTGTCAACTCCGTTATTAAGAGGAAATCACGGAGTTGACAGTAACGGAGTAGACATATGTATACGTAATCAATAATATCATTATTACTAGTTTGAAAACGTATTTAAAATCTTTTATTGTCCAAAAGATTTAAAGAGTACTAAAACCTGTCCTATAAAATTTAATATTTTATAGAATAAAAAAGCGTAACGAAGTAGACTGCGAATAAGTATATCATTATTAAAATAAGGTATTTAGACTTTAAGGCTGATTTTTATATAAAAAACGCTTGCAGCACAATATAACTTTAAATGTAAATAAATTCTATAGAACTTGACTTTTTTTCATTATTTTGATTCGTAAATAACTAAAAAATACAAACCAGTGACTGTTTTAGAATGTAATAACGGAATAGGTAATAAATTTAGGTGCAGCAATTTTTTGACGAGAGCTACAACAGGATAAGATATAAATTATTACATTTAATAAAATACCGTATATTGGCATGTCTAAAGCACGAAATTATAGCCCCTATTAGCCTTAATACAAAAGAAAAAAAAATATTGAGTATAACAATATAGTCCTAGATGCTGGACATCTACGGAGTAAACATTTGGGTTAACAATTTTGCACACAAAATTTTAAATTTTAGTTGAGAATATCAGATAAAATTCTAGTTTATATTAATCATAAGTATTACTACCCGCAGTGCTGTTTTTTATATTAATTGTACAAGAATTACGTTTTTATAGCAGTAGGACAAAAGTTCAGTAGCGGAGTTGACGGAATGAGAAAATGACTCATATATAGAGATGATAAATAATCTATAGACTTGTTCAAAACGTCGCAGACATATAATAAAATCAATAATAGAGTTTCAAATCTATATATTTATTTATATTTTCTATATATTTCTATACATTTATCTATATATTTTAAATCTGTTATTTTATATCGTTAAAAGAATTTCAAATCTAGTGATAAATTTCAATTTTTTCTGAAGAGTGCACTTTTATTTTTAAAGTTTGTTGCATCAATTTATTTTTAAGTTTATTCCACCAGAAGAGTTTGTTATTCAGTTCCACGATTTAAAGAAGTTATAGAATTTGAAATTAAAAAATTATAAATCGCTTTTTTAAAGTTTTATGAAGTTTGTTAAATATTTTTTAGTATGAGCAACTAATTAACTAAAGTTTTGATTTGCCAAGGGTGCAAGGGAGGCAAATCAAAAATCTAGGGCACTTTTTAAAATATCAACAAAATGATTTAATATATCTAATACCCGTTATATATTTATATTTGAAATATAATAGCATTTAATATAAGGTGGCTTGCTTGTTTCTGTTTTTTTAAGATACATGTTAGTCTTGACGGATAGGTGCTATTTAACTTCCCAAGGCCAAGGGACTACTCTAATATGGAGTTTTTTTAGTTTATATTTTTTTAATTTAAAAATTTTTTTTTCACTTATAACCTTCTCTTAACACTTCAATTTTTTTTATCAAACTTATTTTATCAAACTTTAATGCACAACTAAAAGTAACCATTAACAACAATTGCATCCTGCGATGTATCATTATTTTTTTATGCTTTCGCGGTTGCGTATTCAAAATTCAGCAACATTTTTCTAATACTGGTAATTCTTTACCTATTTAATAAAATGCATCATATAAACAACATTTATGTCAAATGATTTCCGTCCAACACATTTAAGTGTGTTGGATATAATTATGTTCCAAAGTATACCACGTAAACATACAGAGGAAAGATTCCCAAGGCCTGCAAAGATGATTTCAGCTCACTAAAGAGCATCATAACCCACTTTGCAGACCAAGAATTAGTGATTTTGAGAAAAACGAAGAAATTACAGTGAAAGTCAGAAGAAGTTGAGTTAGAAAGATAGCATAGAAAAAGCGGTCAGATATTGCACTAGATGATAGAATGTGCAACTCATACTATTAATTAGGTTACCTATTTAGTGTATTAGTATAAACATAGTCAATATCGCGTTTGTTTATACTTATTATATATATATATATATATATATATATATATATATATATATATATATATATATATTATATATATATATATATATATATATATATATATATATATATATATATATATATATATATATATATATATATATATATATATATATATATATATATATATATATATATATATATATATATATATATATATTAATTTAATTCACCTCCTCAAGGCCGAGAAGGCCACTACAGACGAGGAGGCTACTTATATGTGGTTATAACCCTCTCTCAACTCTATAACTCCGAAACACGAACCTTGATGAACAAGGCCGCTGCGCAGAGAAACGAGTTGAGCGCGGTACTACCAGGGACGTGGTGGGGATCGAACTCGAAACCACTCGTTTATGAAGCGAGCGCTCTACCACTACACCACTACATAGAGGTAAAATATATACTAATAACCTACTGTCAAAGCAAGCGATTAGTTTTTTAAAGTTCCTTTACACGCGTATTTTATACAATTTGTTTATAATTCATATCTTCACTTGCGTCAAGCAGTCTAAAGTTGTTAATCGCCTTAAGTTATACAATTTTTATTTTTGATGTTTGAGTCATCTAAATAATAATTTTTAAGTTACCTACAATATATTTATCAAAACATTTTTTATTACAATAAAAACTTTCGCCAAAAGTATTTTATGATTTTTTTTTAGATATAATCAGAGTTGCACTATCAGAAACACGAGTCATGCGCGGAGTTAAAATCTGACGCTCCCTATGACGACAAATTTTAAATTCGCTAGTTTATTCTTTTAAAAAAATGAAATTGGTAAAGGTTGTTCATTTTCACATGCTCTATATAATTCTTTTTAATTCTGTTATTATTCCTTTAGTCTTAATTGATTTATTATAATTTATTTTTATCATTTCCTTTTTAGCTGCATGGCAACAGAATAAATAGAGCGTTGCTGAGGAAATATAAAAAAGTTGCTCACACCGCTTTGTTAAATAATGATTTTTAATAAAGTTAGCTATCTACGATATATTATATATACCTTAAAAAGTTCTATAAATTTATGGTAGTTATATTACTTAAGAAGTTCATTATTGAAAAAATGATTTGATTTTTTTTTTTTTTGATTTTAAATCTTACTTCTTAATTTAATTCAAAGTTTGTGTTTAATAATAAGGTATTGTGGGAAAGATATTCGGACAATTAAACAACTTGACGTCACCAAAACAGTACGCTGTTTCATTAATTAATTATCATTAATAAACAGTGTTGAGGATATTTGAGAAACGGTGATTAGAAAACCTAGACTTTGCCTGCCAAATAGATAAACTATAAGTACTTACATTGATTGTTTGTATAAGTGCCATAAAATAGTTATATAAATAAGTTATAAAAATAATAGTTTTCGTACATTTTAACATAGCATGAAGTTTTAACTTAATAGTTTTTCAGCTTTAAAATAAAAATAAAACAAGAAAATAAAAATGCTTTGTTTTTAATTTTGATGTTCTTTTCATAATTTTGCCGCCCATTGCGCCCGGTGCGGTTGCACCGCTTGTAGTGCCTTCACTTCATGGAACGCACTCTTGTCAAACCCCTATTCCGACGTTGAGCGTTCTTTGCGTCCGCGAACGGAAATATGCAAAATGGACGCAGCGGTGTGCACATACACCGACTGATTTTTAAAGAGAACATAGGGGTAGGCAGGTTCTCTCTTAAATGAAGAAGTAGTTTTTTACATTTTCGGACCTTAAGGACAGCGTCGGAATAAGGGTTTGACATGAGAGCCTACCTCACTTCATAACAGATCTGGTTTTGATATTTGTTTACACGAATATACATCAACGATAAATAAAAAAGCAGGATCTAGCGGTTTGTATATCAACACTGCTTGACATGTGCACTGAAAATAATGTAAATGCAGTTTACGTCTTTGCTTGTGAAGTGGTCTAATTTTGTTAAGTTATATAATTTTTATTTTTATTGAGTCATCTAATAAATAATTTTTGTTTCAATAACTTTAAATTTTTTTTTGGACAAAAACACTTATTGAATCGTTATAATATATTGTATATTTTTATAAACAGTTATCCTAATAAATTTTTTTTATCAGAGACCCGTGTGTGAAGATTAAGTAAAATATGCATGAATTGAATTAACGCATGATTTAACGCATTTATTATTAATAGATTATTATGATAAATTAATGATACTAGATTATTTATATTTATAAAAAGACTTATTATGTATTTAATTATATATGCTTTGTAATATGTTCTGTTACATATAATTTACATATATACTTTGATATATTTTCTATTTGACGTTCATGTTATACACGGTTAAACACTTTTATCTAAATAATATATGCATATGAATTAAACATAAACATTGGTTTTTTATAAACTATTTATAACCCTTTGCATATAGCATGACTTTGATTTGAAATGTTTCCGTTCAATTTTTTATTTAAACTTTTTAACATCTTTTGAATATTTTTATTCCACAAGTTTTAAATTTGAATAAAAAATTATTTTCAAATAAAAATGTAAGCAAGGTAAAATATTATATTTTAATATAATATGATTAATTAGTAGCTAGGTTTTCTACAGATAGCTTATGTAGAAAAGTAGCAAACTTTTTAGTACCTCAATTTCTGCTAATAATAAAGTTCCAGTAATAATAAATTTTGCAAGTTTTTTCTTTATCATTTCACTTAACTTCCTAACCTTCTTAACCTTCTCTTACCTTCTCAAGACTCCAGAGGAGAATGTAACAATTGTGGAGGGTAAATTTTGTTTTGGGAGAAATTAGTTGAGCGCGGTACTTCTAGAGGCGCAGAGTGAATTTGAACTTCAATTCTCTTAATTGTGAGCTGAGTGCTCTACAACTTGTCTTTTACCGCGTCAAAGTGAATTTGAACTTCAATTCTCTTAATTGTGAGCTGAGTGCTCTACAACTTGCCTTTTACCGCGTCAAAGTGGTTGTTAGCACAATACAACGTGTCAAAGTGATTGTTAGCCCAACAAAACGCTTCAAAACGATTGCTAGTACAACAAAACGCGTCAATGTAATCGATAACACAACAAAACGCGTCAAAGGTTAACGTAACGCAAAGCGTCGAATTAATTGTTGGCATAACATAACGCATAATTGACGGCCCTGAACTGCATTAAAAAATCCAAATAATAAAAGTTTATTGACAATTATATATTACTTATGAAGTATATTTGCAAGAAACTTGTATCATAGAAATTTAAATTAGAATGTTGGCAATTCATAACTTTACATCTTGACGTGTTTTTAAAGATTTTAAGAGTTTCTCAAAAACATAATTTTCAAAATAAAGTGAATTAAAAAAAAAATCGAGAAATGGGTTTTCAAAGCGATCAAACTTGCCCAATCAAATTGCTATAACATTGTTTTCAACCAACAGTAGTACAGTTAAATCATTTTTAACCAATCAAAATAATTTTATCACGTGATTTTTGTCTATAAATTTTTGTACATCTTTGAAATTCATTAATACTTTGTTGTGCTTCTACAGTGTTAGAACCAGCGCGGTGTTATAACATTTATATCTTAAACTTAAAACATAACCCAATCCTAAAAATCATGGTTTCTCAATGTAGACAGAACTTTCACCAAGAAAGTGAAGATGCTATTAACAACCAAATAAACATGGAGTTATATGCAAGTTACCAGTATCTTTCTATGGTAAGTTATTTATTTGTATTTACGTTTTTCGATTTATTGTAAGTAAAGAGCTTTTATTTTTTTTATAAATATAAAAAAATTAGAACACTTAATAGATGGATAGCTTTTATAGTACATTTGATTTTTAAAGCTTATTATAAAAATTTTCTAAATTTTTATAATAAGCTTTAAAAATTTTGCGCCAATCTTCATCTTCCTTGCTTGATTTATTTTGTTGAGTAATGCTGTTGTGAGGGTGAACAAAATGTTTGGTTTCTGTTAGTAATATTTGAAATAACGCTTTTTATACAAATGTTCAAATGCTTTTGAATTTTATAAATTTTATTTTTGTGAAAAAATTTAAATTCAAACTTTCAAAAATATACATGAAGTTAAACTGCATAAATTATTAAGTATTTTTATTATGCGATTGGAAAGTTGCACAATTTTTAAATGGTTCTTTATAATTATAATAAATCACAAATATTGTATTGCTATTATAAATCAACAAATGATAAACATTGAATAACAAAAATTTTTTTGCAAAATGAAAAAACATTTTTTATTATTAAATGAAAAAGTTTTTAATAGTAATCAATAATTACCCTGTATCAATAGTTACTCTGAATTTGTTCTGAAAAAATATATATTTTATGTTTTTTAGTTTTAGAACTTTGTGGTTTAATAAATATTTTTAACAATGTGTATATATATATATATATATATATATATATATATATATATATATATATATATATATATATATATATATATATATATATATATATATATATATATATATATATATATATATACACGATTGTTATTAAGAAAAAAAAAACGGGGGATCTCGTCAAAGACTTTAAGGTATATTTTCAAAATAAATAAACTTTCTTTAGGAATATAAACTTAATATACTTAAAGATAACAAATAATTATAAAATAATAATTGAAAACATAAGCAAGTTTAATGAAAAATATAAAAAAGGATCCGTTATGAATACATAGATGCGTTATACAGTTTTAAAATACCTTTTATCAAAAGTGTTAAACTTTTTGTTAAAGGTTTTGTTATACAGTTTTAAGATGCCTTTAACAAAAATGTCAAGCAACTATTTACAAATTGTTAAATTATAAATTTTAATGCAGTGTTTAATAAAAAGTTGAAAAAGAAACAAAAAATTTAAAGAATATAGATATATCATCTAATAAAAAAATGACTTTTATAATATATTATTTATATAATACATTATAAATATGGGTAGTATAATAGATATTAAAATAATAATTTTTTCAGGCCTATTATTTTGATCAAGATGATATTGCATTAGACGGATACTACAAGTTTTTCAAGCATCAATCAGATGAAGAACGTGAACATGCTCAGAAAGTAAATATCTTTTTAATGTCTGTTTTAATTACGTTTAAAAAACTTTCAGTTTTTACAAACAATATTTCTTTAATTTTTAGCTAATGAAATACCTAAATAAACGTGGTGGTCGCGTAGTTTGTAAGGATGTTCAAGCTCCCCAATTTCAAGTAAGTACGCCAGTGTCAGCCTTAGAAGCAGCGCTTGAATTGGAAAAGAAAGTAAACGAGTCGTTGCTGAATATCCATGTCATTGCTGGAAAAAACAGCGATCCCCATTTGTGCGATTTCTTAGAAACAGAATTCTTGGATGAGCAAGTTAAGTCAATCAATGAGATCGCTAAACTAATTACTAACACTAAGAGATGCGGCGATGGTTTGGGTGTCTATCAGTTTGATAAATTGAGCATGTCAAGTTAAATGTCAACGTTTTTTTGATTGTTTTGCCGTGAGGACTATACAGTGCAAGCAATGTTTATTGTTAAAAAAATAAGAAATCTTAATAAAAAAGGAATCTTTACTTCATTTGAATTTAAATTTTTATAAATATTTTTATGTTGGAAAGTTTGCGAATTATTAGTATAATAGAATTCAAGCATGCACACGTTTTTTCCAATAAAAAGGAGTACTTTAGTTATAAATTTGTCTCGCTCATATTAAAGAAATAATGTAATAGCGATACTATATAAAAGCGCTATTTAAAAGTGTTGCGCTTTAAATATATTTTTAAGAAAAAACAGATGTTTAAGTTAATTATAAAAATAAAAAAAGATATATATAAAAAAATAATTTCTACTCGTATCATATAAAATCACACTGTCAACAGTCGCATATTTCTCACTAGCGTACAGTGGGCCAGAATTGTCTAAAAATGGCAAACTATTTATGTGTTAATAATAGACATGTGATGCATGTTTATAGAGGTTTTTGGGGCCAAGGATTTCATTTTTTGGCTTCATTTTAATTTTGGAGTGGGCATGATCATCAAAGCGGTTATTTTAAGGGTTATCAAGGGTGGTCATTGGATGTTTCAATGGTTTTTGAATTAGATGAGGCATGTTGTATACTTAAATATAGGTAACTGCAATTTAGGTATTCAAATCTGGGCATATTAGGTCTTTAGAAGTGGTTATGACCGCTCAAATGGTCATTTTAGTGGTGGTCAAGGGTGATACTGAGGTTTCCCGACGTTTTTAAATTAGATGGGACATGTTGTATGTCTAAATAAAGGTAATTTAAAACTGGGCATATATGGTCTTTTAAAAGTGGTCATGACCGCTCAGTTGATCGATTTAGGGATGGTCCAGGGTGGTCCTGGAATATCTCTATTCTGGATACATTAGTAACGCAGCTGCAAAGCATTTTCATCATAAGAACATGTTTGTTTAAGGCCTGGCGTATTTCATTGTGTAGTGCTTTCTGTTGTTTTGGTCTAAAACATAAATATTAAGGTATAATTATAAATATTAATATTAAGGTATAAATATGAAATAAATATCAAGGTATAAATATGAAATGACTTTTTTTCACGATGACTAAATAAAATAGTTAGAAATTGTGAAAAATTTTGGACACAAATTTTGGACAAAAGTGAAAAATTTTGGACACAAATTTTGGAGCTTTTTTGTTCCGAGGCCCCAATCATCGCAAATTTTTGCAAAGCACCCTTATTTGACATAAGTATAAACATATAAATGTTTGGAGTTTGCACAGTGTCTGGAAACTAGCTATTTCTAACGCAAAGAAACCGCACCGTCGGCCCTGTATATATAAACATATATGCTATTTGTTTATATATATTGTTTATGAACTGTAAAAAATCCACTTGTATAACGTTTTATTCAGGATCGTATGTAATATAAGTAAACTTTTCTAATAATTACAAATCTTTTTTGCTCAAGCTGTCTTGCTTTGGTTTTTTGTAGTTATGTTATTATATTTATAAAAATTGACAAGATTAAAAAAACTCGATGATTTCTGATTTCTAAAGTTATGTCATCTGCTTCTTAGACCTTTAAAAATGATATTCATAAAAATATAATTTTTGTTTCAATTTTTTATAAAAACTCTATCTATTAAAGATATATGAAATACATTTATATGGGATATATTTTAATAAAGGCAAAAGGGGCCATCCATAAAGGACGTCATCCAAATAAGGAGGGGGGAGGGGTTCGAGATAAAAAGGACAAAAAAAGAACAAGAGGAGGAGGAGTTAGTCAGAAAAAGACGTCACTTTATAGATTTTTTATTTTAGTTTAATTAACATGAAAAACAATGTAAATATGTGTTTTTATGAAGATAATGCAATTTTTAATTTTATTTTTCAAAGGTGTAGCACCAGATTATTTTATATTTTATTTATTTTCTTTGGCGTTTAATAAAATTTAAATAAAAAAGATCGTACACGTAAAATAAATGTCCGGAGCAAGAAGAAGACTTATATTGTCTTATCGCCGAGCCCCGTTTACATTGTTGCCTTCAGTTTATGTTACAAGTTAAAATTAAAAGTTAAAAATCTACAGGTTAAAGATTATATAGTAAAACACAATATATTACAATTAGTATAATACTAATAATACTAATAATAATAATAATAATAATAATAATAGCAATAATAGCAATAATAGCAATAATAACAATAACAATACCAATAATAATAATAATAATAACAATAATAAGTTCGTATTTAGAAAAGGTCACTTGACAGAACACAAAGAACTAATTTGGTGAAAAAAGCATCGGGTTTGAACAAAACTAGTATACTATTAGAATTTATATTGATATCTTAAAACTTTTAATACTATGAGTCATGGTACTCTTTTTTACAAACTTAAATATTATAAAGTAAAAAATGTAAATCCTAAATGTTTTTTGCACGTAAATAAACAATGTATATCATATGGAAAAGATATACATCCTGTGCCCGATTAGAAAACATTACTTGCGGAGTTCCTCACGTGCCTATCCTATACCTTTATTTCTTATTTTTTATATAAACAGTATCTATTGCAACATTTAAACTAAATTTTTCGGCGTAATAATCGACGAACAAACGAGTTGAACAAACGAGTTGAACAAACGAATTAGAAAAACTTATTAGTCTAATAGAAAATGAGTTCTTAAAAAGTTTAAAAAAACACAACACATAAGACACACATAAAAAAGTTTAAAAAAACACAACACGTAAGACACACATAAAAAAGTTTAAAAATCACAACACATAAAACACTTTAAAAAGTTTAAAAAACACAAAAGAAGTTACATTTAGCAGAAACTTTTTCAATATACCCTCACTGTTTTGCTTTTGTTGGTTTATTTAAATTTGAGTTGTTTAAAAAATATTCAATAAGGAATAGATTTTTTGATAAAATAGTAATAAATTATGAATCTTTAAAATTAATTTAAGGCAAGGAATATTTTTTTTCATGCGGAAAAAAGAAAAAAGTTAAAAACCAAGTTAATCATGTAAGGTAATGGGGACCTGAAGTGTTTAAGTGTTCAGAAAAATAGTAGTTTATATTCTTAAACTTACGGAATAAATTAATAAATTAATAATAGTATTAACTATTGGATTATATTAAATTAATTAATATTACTTATTAAATAGATTAATGGAAAAGGAAAAAATTCTTAGTGGACAAAAAATGATGCTTTCAACTGGTGGATAGAAAGTTACAGTTCAAGTTGGTGTATCAGATAATAAAACTCATCGCAGAACCATAGTATGTCTTGGAATTGTTATGGAGTTACAAGTTGTAATTAATTTAAGCGATAATGGAACCAAACTATTTTGCTCCAAGCTGATAGACATGGGACAAAGCAGTTTTGAGAACATAATATTTGTAAAACTGAAAGAACCACAAAAATATCTGAAGACCAACTATGATGTTTTACAAAGGAATCAGGTGGTTGTTTGATTGAGAGAGATATTGTTATAGTAAAAGATACATCTGATTTTTTTAACATGATAACTAGTAATGGAGGACTTGATCTTTATAAGACTTGAGTGCGAGTTTCAATGGATTCTGAAGGCGGGTTTATAAAGGTATGTAATGTTATTCATATTGATGAAAAAGGACATCCACTTTAAAAACTCAATACCTCCAGTGTTCAAATAGATCATTTTTTGAAAATTGCAGCAAATAAGAAAGTACAACAATGTAAGTAAGACTGTTGAGCAACTAAATCTTGACAGACTTTTTTTCTTTGCAGGTTATTTAAATAAAACATGTTTTTTTTTTTTGTTATTGTATAGTTTTAACAAAACAAAAAGTTGACAAAAAAAACATGATTAGAAGAAATGCTTTTTTTTTTCAATAAATTCTTAACTAAATCTTTCAGTTACTTGGTTGTTTGGTCTAAAAAATTGCTTTCATCATTTGAAGCAAGTTAACGTTCTTTTGGGAATTAACTCCCATAGTGAAAAATATGCGTGCATGTACTGTGAAGGTGAAATGAAAGTAAATGCTGGAAAGCCAAGAAAATTTAGAAGCCTTGTTAATAATATATATTTCATATTCTATCTAAAATGAGAGAAGGATGTATTTAGATATTACCATCTTTTATAATTACAGATCAGCAGTACTTTAATTTTGAGAAAAATGGTCCAAACATGAAAGAAATGAAATACCTTTATTTATTATTATAGAAATATAATAATAAGAAATGTAACTTTTATGAATGTTATTCATAAAAGTTACATGTTAAATAATAACAATCAATATTATTTTATCAACAAATTAGCGTTATTTTATCAATCAGCCAACATTAATTAATGCATCAATATTTTTAGGTTTATTTATCTTGATGTTGATCCAGATGTTGAAATTTATCATCAAATCCCGCAACACTTTATCTTTTAATGAGTGGTGTAACTGTATTAGGAGATTTACTTTTAGAAATTTGGCAAAACTCTGGACCTTGGTATTCCAGAAATTCTGTTTTAAGACATGGTTATCAAGGTGCCAGTTCAAGATTATGAGAACCATGGCCTAAAAATTGTTTTAAGCAAGAAAAGTTACAAATATTACTAAAACATAGATTAGATTTATGTTTGTTTTACGGTTGTACCAGAAAATCTTTTATAATAGACTCTCACAATATATAAAGAATTTAATTAAGGTTATGTTGTTTACATATATAATCTAATTAGAAAAAAAAAAATTTTAAATATTTATTTTCTAGCACACACCCACCCTTTTAAGGGTCTGGGTGCATATAAAAAGCGTTTTTCCAGACACCTTTAAATAGATGTGAATTTAAAATTATTTATTTTACAAATATTTGGTAAGTATCTTCATAGGGAACAATACAAATTTAGAGTGGGAGGACACAAAACCTGGCGGTCAATTTAGCGCACTGTGTAATTATCAGGTACCAAACACTTGATGTTAAAACATTCTGAATTCTCAATGAAACATGGGTTTCTTATAAAACTTGGGTTTTTTATAAAATATAGGTTTCTTATAAAACATGGGTTTCTTATAAAACTGGTTTAAAATAAAATTGGTTTCTTTCAAATC